CCTTCTCGTCAGGATGACTTTGAATGATTCCTTTAATAGCAATCCAAGAAATGCCTTCACTTTCACCTTTTGTTTGGTACGAGCAACCACCCATTCCTCACGCACTCCTGCGATTTGGCTAATTGATTCTGAAGGGTTGAGTTTTGATGGACTTGGAATAATCCGATCTCTTGAGCATCCTCTATGCGCAACAAGGCAATATATTCTTCGATGGTAGGAACCATGTCTTCTTTATTGAAAGTGAAACAATTGACTGGATTCCAAAATTGAATCAAGGCTCGATCAACTCATCATCTATATCACATATAGCAGATAGGAAATATCCCCATAACACTGGTAAAACTGCCTCTTCTTACTCGACTCCCATTTTTCCCAAATATCTCATAAGTCCTGGATGTCATTTTTTAAGAGAAACAGAAGCATAACCCGCTAAATCTGACATGTGATCAGCTGGCAAACTATCCCTTCCAATCTTTGCAATGCTTCAGCCCTTGTCGTACCTCAGAGTTTTGAACTACTTGATTTAATACTTTTCATCCATTATTGAAAGCTTTCCAATTGACGATTAACTGAAGATCAACCCCTTAATCTTGAATGATGCAATGCAATAACAAAAAAACTAAAAATGAAACGATTAGCACAAGTAAGAAAATTGATACCAATAAAATTTCATTTAAAGATGAATAACACCTACTCCGTCATGATATCTACCCAAACATGTTATACCCACAATGATTTTTCAATAAATTAATCCTAACCACATGGTATCTAGTTCGCATGCTGTTATTAAACAATATTTAAAGTAAAAAGAAAAGGTTCAGAAACGCTCCTCCTTTGTGTACACCTATTTGGGTACCTACTGACAGACATAGGTTCGTATATCTATACCTCAGGTGATCGTTCGACGGTTCACTATATGCGTGGTTGCGTTTCTAACAGAAAAGGTACTCGAATTGTCCTTGATGTTAGTGCCCCCTTGGGCTGCCAAACCCTCAATCCTTACCCATTATAGGCTTAAACGGATCGAGTTCAATTCGAGAGGATACATTCCCTTATGTCTATGCGGAGAATAAATTCTCACGAAAACATAAGGTATATGAATCCCGAATGTTACTTGCTAGGCCTGCACGGAGAATAAATTCTCACGAAGGCGTCGCTTTCGCCCCCACTTAGAAAGGTTCGGAGCTCGGTATAGAGCTTATGTTATGCAAATGCTCGTGACGTGTGAGGAGGAACATTCAACCCTTTGACAATAGGAAAATGGCACCATTCGACAAACTTTGGACAAATCTGAAAACCAAGATAAAAATGTTAGTAAGACAATAATAAAATGAAGCAATTAAAAACTTCAATAAAAGGATCATAAGTTAACTAAAGACTCGAACTCATAATTTCTACCAAACGACAATGTGTAAGCGACTTACAGACTGACTCTCTAGAAAATGTCCCCAGCAGAGTCGCCAAGCTGTCGTAACGTTTTCCGGCGGGACAATCTTTTAAATTGTTTTAAAAACAGTTATGACTTTTAATTTGGAAAATGGGGTGATTTTGGATTAATTTGAATTAAATTGAAAAGAGTCGCCATCCACCTTTGGGTAGGTAGGTCGAATACCTAAAAACGTCTTTTAAAAATAATTTTAAGAAAAATCATTTTTTAAGACAAAAGTTGGTATGCGTTTTCCAAAGATTCGATTAAATGGGTTCGGGAGTCGGTTACGTGTGGGAAGGATTAGCCCCACAGCGCCCAAAATTCGTACTGTGTCACTTACACGTTGTCGTAAATGGTGGAAATTCTGAATCAAATATCAAGTTAAAATATGATCCATTTATTGGAATTTAATTAATTTACTTCAAATTAATAACTTAAAGAAAAAATAAAATAAGTAGTTAAACTTATAAGAACTAAAATGCAACAAATCAAAAACTTGAAGTCTAAATGCAATTAAACGAAATTAAAACAATGACTAAAACATGTAATAATGTCGAGTTATGCACATAAAGATATCTACAAAAATTAAATAAACAAATGATTATTAACTCATGAAAATTACCATGACATTCTAAAATTATATACATTTATTTAGATAAACTATATCTTATATGATTACTATAAATAGTTTTAAACGTTTGAACCATAACTAATACTCAATATTAAAATATAAAGATTTAATTCGATGTAGAATACACAAGTATATGTAAGTTACTATATGAATTTATTTAACTATCTTACAAATATGTACGCATATATGAATAAGTAATGGAACATTATACTTATTAAAAATGATAACTATACTTATTAAATAATGATAAAAAATATAAAAGTAAATACAAGTATACATCTAATATAATAAATATATTAAAATTGATCATGCATGGGCTAATTAAATATATACTCTAATAATTTAAAATATATATATATATATCCAGCTAAGCTATACGTTAAACAATAAAATATGCCTATTCTCCTAAGACATGTTAAACAAATATATATATATATGAACAAAAAAATCAGTTTCCAAGACACATTAAATAAATATATATATATATATATGAACAAAAAATCAGTTTCCAAGACACATTAAATAAAAATATATATACGTTTAACAAATATCCAACTAAGCTATATGTTAAAAAATAAATAATGGCTATTCCTAAGACACATTAAACAAATATATGTATAACAAAGAATCATTTCCAAGACATAAACAAATATATATATATGAACAAAAAATCAGTTTCCAAGACACATTAATATTATATATATATATATATATATATATATATATATATATATATATATATATATACGTTTAACAATATCCAACTAAGCTATATGTTAAACAAATAATAATGGCTATTCTCCTAAGACACATTAAACAATATATGTATATGAACAAAGAATCAGTTCCAAGATAGGTTAAACAAATATATATATATATATATGAACAAAAAAATCAGTTTCCAAGACACATTAAATATATATATATATATATATATATATACACGTTTAACAAATATCCAACTAGCTATATGTTAAACAAATAACATGGTTATTCTTCCTAAGAACGTTAAACAAAATATATGTATATGAACAAGAATCAATTTCCAAGACATGTTAAAAATATATATATATATGAAAAAAAATCAGTTTCCAAGACACATTATATATATATATATATATATATATATATATATATTATATATATATATATATATATATATACGTTTAACAAATATCCAACTAAGCTATATGTTAACAAATAAACAATGGTTATCTTCCTAAGACACGTTAAACAATATGTATATGAACAAAGAATCAATTTCCAAGTAAATGTACAAGTGATCTAAAATTAATTATTTCAAATATTTTAATATAAAATCTAACTTTATCCTAAACCTAATACTTAAACTAAACTATCCAACCGTTTTCAACTTCAAAGAATCTCAACTCTATCTTCTACTTCCCTACCCGAGAAGCTCAAGGTTAACTCTCACACGCCAACAGCTTCTCCTAAGGATGTTCCTTGCTCCGACCACACACATTAACCAGGTAAGACTTACTAAACCCTTCCCTATTTCTTAAACGGCGATGCTCTCATCCACGATGACTCTCATCTTTTTCAGCAAAGACCCAAACACCATAAGGTAAACTAAATCGAAACTATATTTCACTCTTTATTTATATTTTTATTTTGCTTTAATCTAATCATCTCATCCGACATTTTAGAATTACTCAAGACTCACTGTTTCGGAACTGACCACCTAGTCCCTTAAAGATGAGGACAATCACTCCGGCAGTTAAAGCTCACAACATAAGGTAAATTTCTTTCCTCCCTTTTCAATTGTTTTTTATTATTTTGAAACACATATGCACACACAGAGAAAACGGGAAAATAAAAATAAAAAAATACCTTGAACCCAAATTGTATTTCTATTGCTTTCGATTTTTTTAATACAAAAGTGAGATTTTTACTACAATGGTTTTCTGTTGGCTTTTCGAAGGGTGAATGAAAATTCTCCTTGTCTCCTTTGCTTTTCTGTTGAAAACCAAGACCCCTCTATCGTTCTATCGCTGGTGAAAATTTCTCGTTTTTTTTTGTATCTAGCTTCCCCTCCTAATTTTTTTTTGTTCTCCCCCCCTGTTCCTCTAATCCTCTACCTATTTTATGGTTGATATCTCCACCTAATCTTCATGGATGCATCTGTGTTTTCTTCGTTTTTGGTAGGATATTGACAAGTTAGGTATGATTTAGGTGATATGCTTTTGACTTTACTGATATTGTTTGTTTTTGCTGTTCAGTGGCCGACATGGTGATGATGATGTTTCAACTTGCTCAGAGGTGACTAGCCTTAGTGACTCGTCGGTGGAGAGGCTTGGTACTGTTATTGATCTGGGTCTGTTGGGTTGCTTATAATTGGACCACATTTGACCTGCACAAAAATATAAACATAATAATAATAATAATAATAATAATAATAATAATAATAATAATAATAATTAATAATATTTTTTAACTCTGACAAAAAAAAATGGTGTCTACACATCTAATTATCAAAATAGAATAGGAGTAAAATATGTCGAAGTGTGACGCCTAGTAATTCTACTTGAAGCACAAAAACCTTTGAGGTATAACATGGATGTTTCTGAAAATATTAAATCATATATATATATATATATATATATATATATATTGATGATTTAGTTTCATCCTTAAAATTTTAGAAATTCGTATTTTAATATAAAATATTTTATCTGTACATGTGTAATAGGAAAATACTTGTCCCTATTTGAAGTGATACAATGAAGCACAAGAAAAAGTAACATGTATGCTACTTGTGTCATCTAAGGTGGGGTTTTGGTCTATTTAGTTGCAACGGGTGAAGTCTGAATTTATTTATTTATTTTTTAGAAGTTTTGGGACAATGCCCAAATAACCAGAAGAGCCACTTGTTGCGAAGAAAGAGAAACATAATCCAGAAACAAGTGGCTTATGTGGCACCATAGCTTGCCAACGTGCCTTATCTTTAAGCTGTTGTGGTCTATAGAGCTTTGGTAATCTCCATAATATCTGATGGAAAACACACGCCAACAGCGCATACCCATTATCCTCAATCATGGCTTCCTCAACTCTCTCCCCTTCAGCTCCTTCGCAGGTACATCCCAACAACACTTTCTGGGTACATAAATTACTCTGTTAACTTCATTTTTAAACAAAAAGCTTGTGTTTAACAGCTATGCTCCAGCAAGTGTGGCATATTGTGCCCATCACAAGCTTTCCTTGTGAAACCAACAAGGACCCAAATGGTAAGAAAGGACAAGGGAATGAAACTCACTTGCCAGGCCACTAGCATCCCTGCCGACAGAGTGCCCGACATGGGGAAGAGGCAGCTGATGAATCTGCTTCTGTTGGGGGCTATTTCACTCCCCACAGGCTTCATGTTGGTTCCTTACGCAGCCTTCTTTGTCCCTCCTGGGTAAGTTAAGTTCTTCTCATCCTCTTTCCTTGTTCAGTTCCTAATAAGGGTGTTAATATTAGCCTCAAGATTATTCCTCTTATTATTTTTATAACCGTTAGGATTTAACTCGAATTTGATGTTATAAATTAAGGAAGATATAAAATTGAGAGATAATTGAAGAAAGTAGAGACCATAGTTTGATTGAAAGTAGAAAATATATTTTCTTTTATGTTGATTAATAATAGAAAACCTATTTTGAGTAGATTTCTTGTAAACAAGTTTTCATTGTAATCAAGTAATTGATCCGGATACTAGGCAATCTCATTATTTCTATTCGAAGTTTAACTTTTATTAAAATGTGATGACAGGGGAGGAGGCACCGGTGGTGGTACCGTAGCCAAGGATGCCATCGGAAACGACATCATTGCTGCTGAGTGGCTTGAGAATCATGGCCCTGGGGACCGAACCTTGTCTCAAGGATTGAAGGTAAATACAGGGTGTTAATTACTGTTGCATTGCGGAATGAATTATGCTTTCAATGGACAGAAGCTCAATGTAAAAGGTCTAAGTTATCATTTTTCAGGGAGATCCCACTTACCTGGTTGTGGAGAAAGACAGAACACTTGCAAACTATGGTATAAATGCGGTCTGCACTCACCTCGGATGTGTTGTTCCGTTTAATCAAGCTGAGAACAAGTTCATATGCCCCTGCCACGGATCTCAGTACAACGATCAAGGACGAGTCGTGAGAGGACCCGCCCCGCTGGTGAGTCGAATATATGCATTACTTTTATCTTCGAAGTCATGGTTTGGAACACGATTAAAAACACTGTTTTTGTTATGCTTGTTGGAACAGTCCTTGGCATTGGCTCATACCAATGTGGAAGACGGGGGAAAGGTAGTCTTCACTCCCTGGACCGAAACAGATTTCAGAACCGGCGATGCTCCGTGGTGGGCTTAAACATCTTCAATCCGTTTTTTCGGTATTCGATTTTTTTATATTCGACTCAGAATGTTTTTTGCAACGTTGCTAAACAAGCTGTACCATAGAGTTTATCCATTGACACTGATGTTCTTGTGTATGTATATATGAGACTGTGAACTATTCGTGCAGCAAATGAAACAATCTATTAAGCACGTCATAAATACATATTAACAGAAACACGACTACGAGTATCTATCAGACTTGGTTTCAATCATTCATTGAAGGAGAGTATAATGGTTATATTTACACACACATAAAAGCCAACATAAAACCATTGTCAATGTGAGATTTGACTTTTTATTACCAATATATTTCACATTGATTAGATATAAATTTTATATGACCACAATTCGCAGCAACTACGCAATCGAAAATTATAATCGTAATTTAAATCCCTATTTATTATTAATAATTTTAAAAAAATTGCATAAATATTATCTTTATAATTATATGTCGACTATTTTAAAATTCATAATAATCTCCAAACATTTTTTTGTTTCACGTTAATCCTTAATCTTATATTTCACCATAAAAGTTAGCCCTTTTCTATTATTTAGAATAAACTACCAATTTAGCAATTCATTTATTACTTTATTTTTATTTTAATCAGTCAACTATTTTTTCACATTCGTACATAAACATTACATGATAAATTTTATAATTTTTTTTATTTCTACATCATTTTCTCTTTTATGGTCAACATCTACCATGAGCATGATATCTGACCATTTAGCCACTTATCCAAATTTAAGTTTTTGTTAATATTTCATCCTCGTCAGTATTCAATTTATATAAATGTTAAATTAAAGATTAAATTATTTTATATTTTATTTGGAAATAAAAAATAATTAAATACATGCACACTAGTTAAATTCTTATGTTACACCATGTATTATTCTTTTTATCAATTTATTATTTCTACTTTCATGTCCACCACATTAATATTTCACTTTTTGTTAAAAATTGACATAATTTAATGAGATGTTATTGTGTGTAATAAATATTTAATAAAATTAATTTTTTAAATATAAATTTTCTTTAAATTGTTAGGAAATTCCAAAAAATTAAATTAAAATACATTCATATTTTTTATTGTTTAAAATTCTAATTATTCTTAATTTATTTTTTAAAGTGTAAAATAAAAAAATAATGGGGTAAAGTACACAAATGGTCCTTCAATTATAGGGTGTTGCTTTGTTGAGTCCCCCGACTATCATAAGTTACAAAATGGTCACCTGACTATTTAGTGTGTTTCAAACTCGTCATTTTCCTCTAAAAAATTGACAATAGTCTAAGCTGAATGTTAACATGTTGACTGAGATAAGTTTTTTTTTTAGATTTTTGGATCAAAATTTATCACATCTCAGTCATCAGGTTAACATCCAACTCAGAATGTTGCTACTTTTTTAACGAAAAAAGGACAAGTTTTGAATATACTAAATAGTCTGGCGACCATTTTATAAGTTTTAATAGTCGAATGACTCAACAAAGCATCACCCTATAGTCGAATGACCATTTTGTAACTTTTAATAGTCGAGGGACTCAATAAAACATCACCCTATAGTCAAGGGACCATTTGTATACTTTACCAAAATAATTTGGGTCACAAGTTTAAAAATTAAGGGAAAATGGTCCCTAACATTTTCGATCTTCTTCTTCTTCTTCTTCTTCAACTATGCTTTTTTCTGCCTTATACTTCATCAAATAATACAGGGGAGAATAAAGGGTTTAAAGTGTTGACAAGCTTGAGAGAGTGTGCCATGATTTCTTTTAGGAAAGAGAGAGAGAAATTTAGCAGAAAAGAATTACGTATATTCCCAAGTTTCCTTTTTCACGGATAAAGGTAGTTGTTGTTGTACACGCTATTCTTCTTATTTGACTATCCAATGAAATTGGTTGAAAGTGGCAACACCGTTATTGGACCTCCCCACCCGAAATCCACTGCTCGATTAAGTCCTCGACACTGACTTTAGCGTACAATGCAGCGCAGCCATTTCTCTAGTAGCTCACATGCAATGTCGGCTTTACCACTCAGCGGATATTCATTATATATAAAAACTTCACATTTCACAATTTCACCACCTTGAATCTTTGAGGCTTTTACCGTTTTTGCATGAACAATGAACATCCATTTATGTTTCAGCTATACAAAGTAACAAAGCTTACACATTACGTAAAAGTAAACTTACTTGGCTCTCCAAATATATGCACCCAAGATCTCAAACGTGGTTAAACCCAAACCACTCTGTTGTGTTTTAAATGTATGTAAACTTACAAGAAAGGACACTGATATCAAGGACGTCAACAAGTTTGACTTTTGGTAGATCGACAAGCTACTGCAGTTCCAATGGTGTTGTGTTCACGGAACAACATTTCCAAGCAAGGGCAGCTGCATCTTGCAAGGATGATCTTGAGTTGTCACAAAACAGAGGCAACGCCATGCAACGTTGAGGAGGAGGATGAGAAGAAGACACGTGGGGTTTTGGGGGGGTTTTGGGATTTTTTAATAAATTTTTATTCCACGTCACTTACGGCTGGTGACTTATGTTGATTTATTTATTATATTTTAATTGTCACATAATACTTACGTTAAAGGATTAAAGGGAATTAACGGCTGAATGATTAAAATCGGACGAACCGATAACGTTAATAACTAAAATCAGAATGATTGATAACGTTAGAGACTATTTTCCTTTAATCTTTAAATTAACAACCAAAGTCAATTTGATAAAAAAACATAGAGAACTATTCACATAGTTTACCCAAATAATTTTTATATAATTTAAAACCCCAAAAGAATCATAATAGATCTAGCTCCAACTCAAAGGCTTTTCTATTCTTAAAAAAAATATTTAGAAAATATAAAATAAAAAACCTTTTTAAAGGAATATAAAAAATATTATATCGAGTAGATCAAATCAAATTTTTTATTCTAAACTTAAATACAATTTATTTTAAATTTAATGTGTTTATAAAAAAAATACAATTCCATGATATTAGGTCAGATTAAAAGTCCTCGGAAAATGTAAGTAAACTATAAATACTAAGCCTAACCACACAAGTAGGAGAGAGAGGGGTATACAAGAAACAAAAGGCCACGTGTCGCAACCTCACAATCTCCTCCCTAAATTCACAGAAAATCCCCCATTTCCCATTTTCCAAAAACTGGATAAGCCTCTCTATCTCGTCTCCCCCCTTTTCCCTTCAATTTCAACTCTAGATCCAAATGCAAAAACTTGGATTTCCACTATGATTTAACCCCAAATTCCAAAATTTCTCACTAATTTCCCACTTTTCTGTATATGCATACATACTCAATACACATAGATTCGAACAACAATGGCGGCGGTCAGTTCTCTGTCTTTCTCAGCAATCGGCCAAACTTCCGGCGACAGAAAACTTAATGTCTCGTCGTCTCGTCACCTGTCTTCCAATTTCGAAGGATTCCGTTTCCGTACATGCTTTTTACATCACTCCGTTGGTCTTCGAGCTTCCACTGCTGCTTCGGCTTCCGTTGTTCGCTGCATGTCCACAGTTACTGGTTAGTTAAATTTTAGCCTTCTTTTTGCAATGCTGGAACTAGGATAGAGGGAATTAAACTGTGCGAATTATTCGATTTTGTTGATGTTTTTTTGTTTTTGTTTTGGGGTTTGATTTTTCAGATGTCCCGCCAACTGTTTCCGAAACAAAGTCGAGTTTTTTAAAAGCATATAAGCGCCCCATTCCCAGTGTGTACAACGCGGTTTTGCAGGAGCTGATTGTGCAGCAACATTTGATGAGGTACAAGAAGACGTACAGCTACGATCCGGTTTTCGCCCTAGGTTTGGTTACGGTGTATGATCAATTGATGGAAGGATATCCGAGTGATGAGGATCGAGAGGCCATTTTCCAAGCTTATATCAATGCCTTAAAAGAGGAACCCCAGCAGTACAGGTTTGTTTATCGAGTTTCCTTGTCTCCATTTACGAATTAATGAACCAAACACTAATAGGACGATCGAATTGCATATAGTAGTGTTGATGAAACTGGGTTTATATTCCTTATATGCCTGCGGATTTGAGCTGTATCTTTGAAGTAAATGAGAAGAGAGTTTCCCTATAATGTTCTCTTGTTCACAGGGCTGATGCTCAGAAATTGGAAGAATGGGCCCGAGCTCAAACGTCTACTTCGCTTGTTGAGTTTTCTTCTAGAGATGGAGAAGTTGAAGCTGTACTGAAAGACATTGCGGAAAGAGCTGGGGGTAAGGGGAGTTTCAGCTATAGTCGTTTCTTTGCTGTCGGGTTGTTTCGTCTTCTTGAGCTGGCCAATGCAACTGAACCTACAGTGTTAGAAAAGGTGGAATTCTACTCTCCTTACTTCATTTGGTATATCGTTGTACTAAGTTCGGAGTTACTTACACCTAACACTAGTTGAATTTATCAGGAGCCGCAGGCCTAAGATGCCAGGATAAGTTAATGCTTGTTAAATCATTGAAGGATTAACGGAATCATTATTAACAGTTCACAAATGAAACTGGCAATGTCAAACTTTAAGTAACGACTGCACCTATGATTTTAACTTATGGTACTCGGACAACAGCTTTGTGCAGCCTTAAACATTAACAAACGAAGTGTGGATCGAGATCTTGGTGTGTATAGGAATCTGCTTTCCAAGCTTGTTCAAGCAAAAGAGTTGCTCAAGGAGTATGTTGAGAGGTAAATTCTTTTTCCTTCCCTGTATTCTGTAATGCAGTTCAACATATATAATCCACAAGAGAGCATTTACACATTAAAATCGTGCTATCGAACCTCTTGAAAGAACAACCAATCGTTTAGACACAAACCTCGTGCAGTAACAAGAAACTTTTTTTATGAACATGTCCTGTACGGATACGATCAACGCTAAATGTGTTTGTCATCTGAAATGTTTTTGGAAATGCAGGGAGAAGAAGAAAAGGGAAGAAAAATCAGAATCACCTTCGGCCAACGAGGCCATCAAGAAATGTTTGGGTGAATACCAATACCTAAGCTAGTAATTCAATCTTTTTACTCAATGTGCTTATAATCTTTCGTGATACTTCGATCCGGTTTTTGTTGTCCGAGTTAGAAGACAGTAACCTTCATGGATTAGGCTCAAAGTGTCAGCTTGTGTACTGTTTCCAATTTGGTGGTTGATGTACACACCTATGTATTATGTAATTTTTCCAATACAGTCTTACTCTTCCAAATGTATCTTTGGTTCATGGTCCATCAGCTACGTATGGTATCACAAAAAATTCTCTCATTTCACATCAACAACAACAACAAAACCTTATTCTCATATGCAATGGGGGTAAGGGGAGGTAGGGTAGTAGGCTGCCCCCAACGCATGTTTGAGAGCAGCTTCCGTGGAAGACTTCCGGTAGTCAGAAAATTAAAAATAAAGATAAAATGCAATGTATGTATAAATAAATAAATACATATTTGAACAGTCTTCATATACAGTCTTCATATGCGCGTCTGTAATGGGAAGTAATCTCTGCTAATAAATTTCTGCATAATAATCTCTACATATAGACAGAAAACGTAAGACCCGAATAAAATTAAAAAGAGTAAACATGAAGAGAATGATACACAGAAGTCAACGATAGCAAGCTACGCGAAGGGATAAAGTCAAATGAGTTAAAACCTAAACTAAGACAATAATGATCCGATACCCTAGTTCTAAGCCTTCATTAATTCCAATGACAGAAACGTATAAAAAGTAGAAGTCATGGAAATTACGACAAATGCATAAAAAGAAGACAGAAATGTTACACCCTATGGCTCTGACCTGCACTAATCGGCTACCCTGGTCTTAAGTCTCCATACTTTTCTATCAGATGTCATATCCTCAGTAAGGGCTAAATCCTTCAAATCAGATCTCAAGCAGTCTTCCCATTTCCGCCTTGGTCTTCCTCTCCTTCTGGCACTGTCGATTGTAATCAACTCTACTCTCCTGACCGCATCCGACGGTTTTCGCTTAAGGACATGCCCAAACCACCGTAGTCTTCCCTCCCTTAATTTTTCGGATACAGGCACCATCCCCAAGGACATTCTAATAGCAGAGTTTGGTGTCATGTCCCACAGAGTCCTACCACATGCCCATCAAAGCATTCTCATTTCTGCGGCCTCCATCCTCCTTACGTGATCCTTCTTGATTGTCCAACATTCTGATTCATACAGCAGCGCTGGTCTTATTGCCATTCTATAAATTTTTCCCTTAAGTTTTTGAGGCACCTTCTTGTCACACAAAACTCCAGTAGCAGCCCTCCACTTTAGCCATCCCGCCTTTATACGGTGTGTAACGTCATCATCTACACCCTCATCCTTATGTATCATAGACCCTAGGTACTTGAAACAATCCTTTGAGGAGAGAACGTGTCCTTTTATGCATACTTGTTCACCTTCATCGTATTGGTTCCCACTAAAGTTTGAACATAAATACTCTGTCTTTTCAATATTGATCCTTAGACCTTTTTCTTCCAAAGCAGTCTTCCAGGTAGTCAGTCTACTATTCAGCTCAGTTTTTGTTTCAACAACTAGGACAATGTCATCAGCGAAAAGCATACACCATGGAACACCGTCTGGTGTCGTACAAAAGATGTCGTCATAATCAAGGCGAAAATGTAAGGGCTAAGAGCCGACCCCTGGTGGAGTCCGATTTCCACCGGGAATGCCTCGATGTCGCCAACTGTAGTCTTGACGTATGTAGTAGATCTACAGTACATATCACGAATTGCCTGGATATAAGCAGTTGGGATCCGTCTCGTTTCCAAGGTCTTCCAGATCGTATCGCGGGGAACGCTATCATATGCCTTCTCAAGGTCAATGAACGCCATGTGCAGATCTCTATTTTTTCCCTATATTTCTCCATAAGCCGTTGAAGTAGATGAATCGCCTCCGTAGTAGACCTGCCTGGCATAAAGCCAAATTGGTTTTCCGAAACCCTAGTAACCTATCTCAACCTAGCCTCTATCACCCTTTCCAATAGCTTCATGGTATGGCTGAGTAGTTTAATACCTCTGTAGTTACCACAACGTTGGGGATCTCCTTTATTCTTAAAGATTGGTATCACCGTAGACTCTCTCCACTCCTCTGGCATCTTGGCAGTCTCTAAAATAATATTAAAGATGTGGTCAACCACTTAACTCCCTCTTCTCCTAGGGCCAACCACACAGTGATAGGAATTTGATCTGGACCGACAGCTTTGTCCCTCTCCATCTTTCTAAGTGTCATTTTGACTTCCTCAAACTCAATCATACTTGTAGGGCAGTCATTGGTCGTAGTATGATGGTCGGTTGACCCATCAACGGTACTATCTCTACAGGGAGAGGCATCGTCATTAAATAAGCCAAAGAAGTAACTACCCCAAACCCTCTTAATATCATGATCTTTCACTAAAAGAACACCATTGTTGTCATTAATAAACCTAATGCTACTTAGATCCTTTTTCTTATTCTCCTGGATTTTGCAAGTCTGAAGATGTCGTTTTGTCCTTCCTTGGTGTATAATCTCTTGCACATTTCCTCGTATGCCTTATCATTTGCTTTAACCACCGTTTTCTTGGCTTCCCGCTTTGCTTCCTTGTATCTTTGTTTAGCTCTCGATCTTTCTTCGTCATTGCATTGTAGAAACTCCTTGAACAAGTTTGCTTTGTCTTCACCTTAGTTTGGACTTCGTCGTTCCACCACCACGATTCTTTATGCTCCTTGACCTTCCCTATCGACAACCTAAGGGTGTTTATGCCCACCTCTCTGATGGAACTTTCCATATTTTTCCATAACATATCTGCATTATTTGAGTTTGTAGTTCCAAAATCTATATTAGACAAAACCTTACTCCTAAAGTCATCAATTGTCGCTCCATGTAAGTTCTTCCAAAGGATCTTAGGTTTACCAAGTATAGCCCTCCTATGAGTGCTCCGCCCATGGCGTACGCGGAACACCAAACCAACAATCTGTGTTGTGATGCACATGCCTCTTCTGGGAACACCTTACAGTCAATGCAAGCCCATCGATCCCGATTTCAAACAGGATGTAGTCGATTTGGGTACAATGTCCCCTGCTATGGAATGTAATCAAGTTCACATCTCTCTTGTTAAAGAAGGAGTTAGTGACCACCATATCATGTGCATTAGCAAATTCAAGCAACGTACTCCCCTCCTCGTTCCTACTACCAAAACCGAAACCCACATGAACACCGTCATACTCATCGGTTGCACTACCTATATGGCCATTGAAGTCTCCCCCTATGAAAACTCTTTGGTCCTCCGGAATGCTCCTAAGTACATCATCTAACTGATCCCAGAAATAACGTTTCTCCCCCTCACCTAGGCCAACGTGTGGGGCATACACTGAAAGGACATTCACCACTTCATCTTCTATAATAACCTTAATCATCATGATCCTATCCCGGTATCTACAAACTTCGACTACATTTTCCTTAAGCTTAGAGGATACCAAGATACCCACCCCATTTCTAGCGTTATCTACGCCTGAATACCACAACTTGTACCCATTACACTCTCTGGCGCGATTCCCTTTCCACCTAGTCTCCTGAATACATGCAAAATCTATTTTCCTATTACTAAGTACGTTGGTCAGCTCCAGCAGCCTAGCATTTAATGTGCCTACATTCAACGAACAAACACTAAGTCTAGTCTCCTTGACACCACTCTGTCGAGCCCTCCCCCTATACGCCCTATGAGATCTAAAAGAAGGACATGACCTCAAGTAATCATCTATAGCCGAAGCTATGAGTAACTATGAAAAATGAATCCAAACGGGTAATCAAACGGATTTAAACAAAGGTAACTGCACAACTAGTTTTAAACCACCAACCGTTCGTAAAATTTATAAATTCAGAATCAAAGCAAAATTACCGTTCGTAAAAAAAATCTCAAATTGCATACACTTTACAGAAAAAGAATTAGCATTCACGTTTAAAGTGGAAAATGCAAGCTAAAAACTAAAAACAAAAACAACAATGTGATTATGAATATTTTAAGTTAATAAAAAGAACAAATAAAACGAGAAAATTTGATGAAAATGTATCTGCTGACACTTCAAGTCCCTAAGGAAAAAACATCGACCCCAATGTGATTTATCTAACGGATCGTGAACCCAAACGTGCAGATTACAAAAAATGAGGATACCCAGAAAATCCCCAAAACAGAAGGATGCAAAAGCTACCAAATAGCCACAGTAAAACAAGTACTCAAGAAGAACAAGCTAGTTGAGATCCAGCTACAATTGGTTTCCTGCTCTTAAGAAGATGAAGCTGTCAAGAAGCTAAATGAAGAATTTAAAAAAAAAAAAAAAGCACAGATCTAAAAAAACCAAGAGAGACGGCAAAAAAATGTAACGAGAATAAGGAAATAAGAGCCTTCCTTTTCAAAACTACAACGATCGGCAACGCAAATCACATTCACACAAAAAAAAAATCTCTCATTTCAGTTAATATTTATTCAAAACTTTCAACTCCTGCTGTGTTAGTCGTGCAGACTATTTCTAACGACTCAAACTTTTGGGTCAACATTCTTGTGTTGACACAAGCTCTTGTTGACCCGGTTGGTAGATCAAATGAATTTATTGGATAGGGAATTGGGTCTAATTGGCTGAAAAAGTAATAGAGGGGGTTTGCTCTACATTGAATAGTCCAAGGACCTAAGGAATAATTTACTCATTTAAGAGAAACAATGTTGATTTGGGATATTGTGTGACATGTAGTTTGAGATAGATGAATGCTTATATACTCGTTCTTATTGCCAGTTTCTCCATCCTGCCATAAAAAAACTGAACCCAGAAAAAGAACTTAAATTCTGTCCAGGGACAAAGCTTGATGTCTCTAAAATCAGATCTCTAGTTACGGACTTGTGAATAGAAGAGTCTGAGTTTGGAGCCATTGTTACAAGCATTTATCTTCATTTTTTTGGTTTCGGGCCACCGTAAGGTCCGTAACGGTCTCAACTAGGTCTCAAATCGAGTCAAGTTGGACTCTAATTTTAGTGACAATCTCTTTGTTGCATGCTCTGCAGAGCCGAAGTGGCCGGAGACATTAGGCGAGCTTGCCATTGCTATATGCTCTGCTTGATGTAATAATATCTGCTGACAAGAATCGAAGAAGATGAGGAAATGGCATATAGGAGGTGATGGTATTTATTACAGGAGAGAAAGTAGATGGAAGTTAC